CTAAACAGACCGATTTGGGCAAGGGGCAGTGTTGCCGACACCAGATCTGAACTCCGCTGATGAAATTTAGGATACGGACGTCAAAATCTAGGAGGGGGGTCCGACCCCCCTTTCTAAATCTCTAACAGGCCGTAGACAGCCCGTAGACCTCGGCATACGGTGCCGTGACCACGAGAAAGGAAGGAGCCATCATGACAAAGCGAACTGCATGCCAAATACAGACATGACATAAGCCACTCCAGTCACGTGCTGATGATGAGCAGAACATGCCGCTTGTTTAGCGCCCAAGATCCACAGACTGTTTCAAACCCCGCCTAGAAATCTACGGACGTCCGTAGAGCCGTAGATCCTTATGGAAAGTCGTCCAGTGCTTTGCAAAAAAAGATTGCAGTGCGAAGCGCGCAAATCCTGTTTGCCCCTGTCTGGTCCCCCGTCGGCTACGGCGAGGATTTCTGTTTCGGGAACCGGGCGCTCACAAGGACTCCGTCCGTCAAAGTCGTGCTTGAGTCCGTGCCCGCTTTCCTACTGCCAAAATGCACGACGATGTCCTTTGCCTCCGCAATATAACTTTCTGAAAATATTTGGTAGGTTCGTAGCTGAAAAATCGACCATGCTGCAAAGAGGCTCCCGGCATTGCGGGCGTTTCCCCGGGTGGGCAAATAGAGGCAAACAGGATTTTGCGCGCTTCGCACTGCAATCTTTTTTGCAAAGCACTGTAATGCCCACCATCGCATATTCTTGCCCAGTCAACTCTTTTCACGATGTCAAGAGCATCGCGCCCAGCGAAGCGTGCTCAGCTTGCAGAATGCACCTTGACCGCGCCCCCGACACTACCCACCGCTGGCTGCCTTCCAGTGTCACGACGAGCTCGGGCTTGACGAGGACAATCCTGTCTTCGTCGCGAACCAAGATACAGCGTGCTAGATGCATCGCGTCCTCCTAGCTGCTCAGTCTTCTCTCTTGGCCGATACGACTGCAATTTTGGGCTCCAGAGTAAAAGTAGCGTTCGATGGGTACCCCGTTGTCGAGGTCTGGGACTCCACAGGAGCTCGTGCATTTCCCGCGGGTCGTTTCGCCTAAGTCACAGAGATTGTACGCTAATTCTCTGGCCGCGCTACGTGTCATCGAGGACCCCTTACGTTCTCATATGTCTTACGAATACCATGTCTAGTGAGGTCGGACCGTCCTTAGAGTTTCGTGGCTCAGTATAGACAGGTTTGTCCTATCACGGTGTTTGCTTTATGACCTCTGCAGATAGCAACTGAAGACGCGCAGGTGAAAACATGACGTAGTCTTCCCTGTGGGCGCAAGACAGGGGGCGTCAGCGCTCTTGTCGGATGGGTGCTCCAGCCGTGGTGCCCATGCCCACGTGTTAGAAGGCGGTGTTGAAGTCGACCCTACGTGCTCTCCTGCATCAAACCGCCCATTCGCGGAGGAACGACACTCATCAGATAACAACGTCTGGAAATATGCCTTCGAACGCCGCTGTAGCAGTGATGCGGGGAACCACCTTCGACGACATTCACGTTCAATACCTCGTGCTGCGGTACTGCGCTTGACCCCTCAGGAATTAGAGAGCGAGGTGAGTATGACTCCTGCCTTCGAAATTCCTTGAAGGGTGTAGATCATCGCATCTCTCATCTCATCGGACCTTCCATTCCCATCTGCTGCAGCTGCAGCAATAGTGCTAAACTATATTGTGAATCATTTAATAAGACCCCGCCCCCCTAAGCAATCCGTCTATCGGGTGACTCGTCCTCGCCTCGGAGTCGAGTTGATCTTACCATGCTGTCGTGTCACTCTGTCCCTCGCGCCGTGAACCATGCCGAAGCAGCACATGTAGTTCCGGAGACATCAGAGGTACGTATGCGCTTGTTCAATCTGGAACACCTCTAGTCCTGATCACGACGGCGATCACAGGTGATGCGCACACCAGGCGCTTCGTCGAAATCGCAAGACCTACGCTTCCCGATCGAGGTGTGGCAGATGATATTCGAAGCGACTCCTACGGCTAGGCAACGAAATGTTGCGAAATATGCCCGGATCTGTAAGCCTCTTAGACACGCAGTCGAGAGCCTTCTGTACCGCCTCCCTCGCTTGCATTCCTTTCGGTCTGCACAAAAGTTTGCCCGGACAGTCTCCTCGTGCCCTCGCCGAGCCAACCTCGTTCGTGGCCTGGAAATCGGAAGCTGGAAGGACAACGTGCAGTATGTACTGCCCGCCTTCCTGTCGACCACCTCCCAACGGCTCCAGGAACCAGAGCGCGCCGCTGCCCTCCGGACTGGTGCTTCGGACGATGAAGTGCTAATACCGCATCGGACCACCCTTCTTTCAGGGAGCGCTGGCCTCACCGCCTTCGTCCATCATCTTCCCTTACTCGACACGGTCGCGCTGCTTGACCAAGATGCGTTCCGCTATGCAGAGCAGCTGATCCGTGCTGGATCCCTCACGCTGAGGCGTCTTTGCGGGATGCCACTCGAATCCACTATGGATGCCATGGACTTTCTTCGTGCGCATCCTGAGCTCGAAGAGGCCTCCCTTTCCCCACTGGGTTGGAGCGGCCTGGCAAGGCTCACTCCTCTCGGCCAAGGAAACCTTCGGGTTCTGTCTTGTGGGAGTCAGGCTATCAGGCGCACGTTTGGGGAGAGCTTCTTTCGACTCACGCATCTCAATGTCACTCACGTGCAGTCACCAAATAGCATAGACAGGATCATCCAGGCCCTCGGACAGCAGCTCATCAGTCTGCGCATCGAACAAATGGTCCGTGCAAATGTTTGCAAGCTAGGGAGAATGTACCCCACAAATGAGCACCTGTCACGAACCGCCCTCACGGCGCTACGTTTCCTTTTCGATTCGGACCACTGCCTCGTACGTTTCCTTATTGTTCACTACTCGCTACGGTTTCCCTTTGTCCACACACGGACAATAGCTCCCTTTGTTCCCACGTCCGCTATTGTCCTACACCCCTTGTACTCCGTACCCATGGCGACGCTATTGTTCTCTAGCGCCCATTGTTCGTTCCCTGTATATAGCTGGATCCCTTGCTACCTGGAGACTCTAGTTTCGACCTCTTGTCTCCAGGTAAGCCA